TAAGTGCATAATAGATAAGCTTCCAACCTTGGAAGAACTTAACAGAAGAAGGCCTGATATATACACAACAGTAGAATACCAAGTATGCCAAGAAAAAATAAAAGAAATACAAGCATATTTGTTAGCATGCAAGGGGCAAAAAAATCTCTAGAAGAGAATTCAAAAGGTAACTATTGCAACAGCATAGAAGAAATTAAAAGAAGAAAAAAAGATCCAAATTTCTCTATATGTATTATATATAATGCTCTTTGAAAAAACAGAAATGGAAGAAGTTAAAATAAGAGAAGCACTAATAAAAGGCCTAATCTCAAAAGAAATGCAAGATAAACTGGCATAGCTTTTAAATTCAAAATCAAAACAGCAATTTGTAAATGCAATAGCAATAACAGTCTAGGATACATTTTATAAACAAGTATGGAGAATACATTGCAAAAAAATTATTGAATAAGAGAAAAAGATTGGAATAACAGGTAAAATTAAAAGGAAAAAAAATAAAAAGCTGAAGAAGCCAAGAAAACAAGAAAAGACAAATCAAGAAAGAATAGAAGGGAAAAAAGAAGAAATAAAAGAAAAAGAAAAGCAAGTTGAGAAGGAAGTAATGAAAACAATGTTGGGGCTTGTCATGGAAGAGAGAAGACCCTTCTATTATAGATTTTAAGTAATCAGACAAGCAGCTTACTTCTGCTTGAAGTAATGCAACAGGTTGCATTTAGGTACTAGTAAGATGGCCAGGTGATGCTAGACTTAGATATTAGGAATATTTATATAGTTACAAATGTAATTCCAAAATCTTAAATAAAGTACTAGTGTGATTGCTTATATGTTAAAAAAAAAAAATAATAAAATAAAAATAAATATATTTATCTAATTTTTAATATTTTGTAAAAAATTCTTTTAATTTATTTATTTTTTCAAAAGGTATATTTGTGATTGTTAAAACCTGAATAAAATCTAGATTTATTTTGTTATTTTTTAAATATTTGTATAATAATAGTATTTTATATAAAATTATTTATAAGAATATAGTAATCTAATGAAGTAGATAAGTTGGTAACCCTCAAGTGAAAGTCTAAGATTTAATTTTTATAAATAATGAATTTTGGAAATTATATCTGTATCATGTTAACTGTCTCTTACTAATTGATTGAGTTTTGAACATCTGTAATCTTAGATATATCAAATCAGGTCTTACTTGATATTGGGAGCTTAAAGCATCTATGCGAAGTATAATGTTATATATATATAGAGGAATATGAAAAACTGGTATTATAAAAGGCTTCAGTGCAAATCTGTGATAAGACCACTGTACATAAAAGGCTAAGAAACCAAGAAGACAAAAACCTACTTAGAAATCCTAAGTAAATAGATAACACAAACTTTCGATAGTGTCATTGGACTGATGAAAGTCTATAAAATATCTTTATAAGAGCTGTTAGATAAATCAGATAACAAAGATGTATAAAGGAGCATATGACCAACCAGACCACCAGAATCACCAAAGAAAAAAAATACATAAGTATACCATACTAGGTCATCTGAATTAAAAGTTTAAAAAGTTGATTGGTTCTAAGTTGCAACTAGTAGAGGATGATGAAGAAGAAGTCAGAAAGATGAGTACCAGAGTTTGGATGAACTTTACAAGGATAATAGCAGTTTAATAAGTAACCCTGACTGCAAGTATTAGTCTTGGCTATAACATCAAATTAGGTTAGTAGTAAAAAAGAATATAGCTTACTCTGGTAGGTTTGCCTTAAGAATAAAAATAGTCTAAGAATTATAATCCTATAATTAAAAGTAAATAGATTTGGATTTGTGACTCAGTGAAATTAATACTAAGGTCAAATCAAAGAGTTTAAATAGAACATCTAAGCAGAGATATTAGGTATAACAACTGAAAAAAAACTCTTGAGCAGACTTCTTAAATAGATAATATAGAAAATTTATATATATAACCAGTTGTATATTTATCTAATAATTCAATATGAATATGTCTGTATAAAACATATGTTCAACATAAGTATTAATAAAAAGCTAGGACCAAAGAGGTCATCTTAATACTGAAATATATATATATATATATATATATAATTATTTATTATATAATACTGAACAGCAAAAACTATCCAATTTTCTATTAATTACATTAAATTTTAAGAGTTATACTCAAATCTAATTGGTTAATTTTTGTATAACAAAATTACAATTAGATAAAAATTTATAAAAACAATTTTTTATATATATTAAATATCAAATTTTTGATTATTTATAAACTTTAAGTTCTTATAATTTTTTAAATTTATAATAAAAATTAAATCTAAAAGTATGATGACCTAGTGAATAGTCAGGTTGTCAACTCTCCAAGTAGTAGATTGGGTGTTCAAATCTTATTGATAATAAAAATTTAAATAATCATCTATGTAATACTTGTATTATAACAACTGTTACTAATAATTGGGTTAAGATACTTGTAATAGTGATCATACTAGTATAACTGACAAGTCATAGTGCATTTGTATAACCTATTATACAGAGAAATGCAAACCAATATCAGATGGTATAAACTTTAAATAAGTTCTTATAACTATATAAATCTGTTAAAATTGGGTAACAAAAAGTTTATTTTAAAAAATTCAAGTAAAGAGGTAGTCAGATTTTTGACAACCTTATTGTAAAGACTAGGCTAGAGAAATAAATACAAAGGTTATAATACTTAGATAAGCAAGAACTTCTGGGTTAAAAGTCCCAGAAGTGCTATTAATTAGGTCATCAGAACAAACTGAAAAAAAAATATTGGACTAATCCAATATATCAATAAATTGGTTATAATCTTATATGAGTTATCTGGATTAGAAGTCTGGTTAAAAGACTAAACAAAAGACAAAAGTATACTAAAGTACTAGGATTATGCTATGAAGTAGATGCTGAGATCTGTGTAAACTTTATAAGGATATAACAGTTAAATAATATAACTTTGATCACAAGTATTGGTTTTGCTATAACAATATCTAGATCAATTATAAAAATAGATACAAAAGACTCTGAGAGGTTTATTTCAAGGATAAATAATCTTAAAATTGAAATGATAATTTGAGCATCTGGGTATGACCTAGTGAGTTAATACAGATTACAGATTCAGAGAATTTAAAGTGAAACACTCAAGCAAAGGTGTTAGGTATAGCAATTAGTAAGAAACTTTCAAGCAAATTTCTTAAATAGATAATATAAAAAAGTTACATATGTAACCAATTGTATGCTTTTCTGTAGTAGTTCATTGAATCACATTGCTAAAAATCATTAATAAAAGGCAAAAAACCAAAGAAATCACCTTAACACCAAAAAAATAAAATAAAATAAAAACTAAATCTATTTTAACTGAATTGTAGTTTAGACTAAAAATAATAAATTTGTAAATTAGATTTTTTTTAAAGTTGTTTATTTGTAATTTATAAGCATTTTTATATTTTATATATAAAAGTTGATGTTTTTGCTATTCAGTACTGTAGTAACATTATTATTTTTTTTTGCTTCTATGTTTATATGAAATAAGATGATCACAGATTTTTTTTTTATAATTTACAACTACATAACAAGCATAGCATATTAATGAAATGCCATCAACATAAAATTCTTGTTGATATTTAAATGTAGAATATAGCCCTTCTATTCTATCCCTTGTGATAATCATTTTTTTTAAAAAAAAAAATTCAAATGTTCTTTTTTTTTATTAAATATTTAAACTTTAACAATGTAAAAACGTCAAGAAAGGTTCATATTGACAATTTTACAATAGTAAATTTGATCTACCAATCATTTATTAGAAACATTCTGCGGATTCTGCCACCGCAGATTTCTTGACAATCTAATCTAAACATACCCTAAAACTAACCAATAATATCGTACATTGTTATAGTAAAAGTTAGTAAAAGTATAGAAATTTAAGGATATGTTTAGATCAGTGTTGGCAGCAATAGATGAATAGAACAATAGAATAGAGCAATAGAATTTAGAATAGAATAAAATTTTTGTCAATAGAACAAAAAATTGCCAACAAGATTATAATTAGATATTAATATAGCAATAAATAAATAGAACAATAGAATAGAGCAATAGAAATTAGAATAGAATATAATTTTTATCAATAGAACAAGAAATTGACAACACTGGTTTAGATATATCAATAAAGTAGATGCGGAAGTAAAAAAGTAGTGTTTTTTGCTATCTGGTAACTATAAAAGATATTTAAAGAATCCTATCTCTAATAAGATATAGTCATTACTGTGTCCCGTAAGATCATTTTCAAGGCAAAAACTCCAAACATGCATTAAAAATAGTGTACTCATAAATTATTATTATTATTTATACTGCTTAATTTAATTTATCAGACTTATGTAATATTTTGTATATATCAATATATATTTAATAGTACATGTTAAAACGAATATTTGATGTAAGTGATGATATTTACAATAATAAATGTGTAATATACGATCGCTATTAATCTAATCGCCGGGATTTTAGACCATTTGAATCGTTAGGTTTTCTTATTTGTATTCAGAAACTTCGCAATCATATATTCCTATAAATTTTGTGATAGATTTCTGTAAACCATATAATAAATATATATTTAAATATAATTGATAATGTCTTAGATGAAGATAACTTTATTAATTATTGCTAGAATAGATATCATGTGCTATAGAGTACTAAATAAATAAATGCTAAGTGTTAAACAAAAGAAAAACTAAATCAATACACATACATAAAAAATAATAAAAATTTACCTTTTCTTTGCAGTGATAATGTACAACAACTCCGTTAGGAAAAACAGCGAATACACTAAACGAAAAATGTGAATGGAAATAATATTAGCAAAAAAAAACAAAAAAAGTCATTCACGATGAAGCATCAATACAAACCTATGCCCTATACGCCGAGTACATTGAGGACACATACGATCCTCATCGATTTTAACTCGACGAGATCGATAATACATCAGTTGTTCTTCAACCTATATCGTTTTTTTTTTAAAAGTAATTTAGAATGGTTAAGTAATAATACAAATAAAAGAAACTTACTTGGGTTTGATTTGCTTTCAACAAATTCTTTACAATCAAATTCATATTTCTATTTTTATTACTTTCTCGAGTATTTTTCTCAAAGAAAGAATATAATTGCGAAATTGTTGTTGATGGAGGAAGCATATTTAATGCCTAAACAATCGGGTTTTAAAATTAGTGCTACAATGCTAAAAATAAATAACTCTATGCTCCGGACAATTAAAAATTATATAAAATCGTAACACTAACCTCGGATGTATTTATACGTGATCCATGACGTGATAAAAGTCGTATAGCAGGTTCGATCATCACATGCTCACCATTGTTTGGGCGTAAATATACTCGCAATAATGATATAAACACATTTTTCGAACCACCATCGTCTTTGTAATTTTTCAAGCAATACCTAATTAAAAACATTATGTTAGTAATAAAATGATTAATCATTTTTTTACTCAAATAAAAATTTCGACGTACTCTTCCGCCATCTGTTCATTTTGTAATTTATGAACGTAGATATTTAACGCTTGATCATGTTGACCAAGCCGACTAAGTAATACTGCTCGAGCTTCATAAAAATCTAACAATAAAGTAATGATATATGTCATATATTATTTGTCATGGAATGAACTCAAAGACATATATTGTATACCATCTAAAGGCAAGTGACCCAAAATCTTTTCTGCTCTATAATGGGTAGATGTTTCCAAAAACTTCAAAAGTTTTTTGTGTAGTTCGTCACTTGTCTCCGACTCAGAAGCTGAACAAAAAGAATAGATTAATATTAACTGATATAATGTGGAATTACACAATGTGTAGAAGGCTTACGTGAATGGCTTAAATCAGAATTCTCTGATGGAGCTTGCGATGACGATCGCTGAATTTTGTTTAGATAATTGATAACCAACTTATTATGAAAATCGGGTGTTGGATCGTGAAGCTCGCCTATAATATGTTCTAAATACATTATACATGAGTCATATGAAAATCCTTCGAGATATTTTAAGACTTTTTCTCGCGAAAATTTCATGACTTCGGGATGTTCGTCAATAAATATCTAATCAAAATATGGACGTATTAGACACATAAGTGGAAAGTGGTTAGGACAAAAGAATAAAATATGAAACCTCCAATCCCGCTATAGGATCTGCCTCAAGAACCCATGTTGCATATTCTAATATCAAATCAAATTGTTCTACTCCAAGACGATGCATATGATATATAGTATGAAATACGCCCTTCATTTTTCCTCCGTCCGGTGATTGCCCGAGTCTATAAATAATAATGTCATTTGTATAAACTATGCAGAATTTTTTATTTATATCCATAAGTTTCATGATAACTTACTTCTTTAATAATTCTAAAGATTTGCGATGCAAACCTTTTCCATGATATAAGTCAACCAGCTCTTTATATTTCTTTATAATCGAGTAAATAAGTAAGCGAGTACGATAATATTTAAATGAATAAGTCAAGATAATTATATACCTTACGCTCTAATAAAAGCCCTTCGCTTTCTTCAACATTACAATGGTTAGGCACCCTAAGAAGCGGCCCAACTAATGCATCATTTGTGAACATATACGATCTCAGTAGAGCTGTATCTACTAGTTCTGCAATTTCCGAGATGTGGTTGTAATTCCCGTTGACATTTAATGGCCCTGATAAAATATCACTTCCTTTTTCTGGTTTAGGATTTAGTATTTTAGATATTTTTTGTCGTCGGTCCGTCAAAAACCTTATCAACGCTGATACTGCGTCTTCAAGCAGCTTTCCTTCTGTTATCACGCATAGAATATTGAGGAAATAACGTAAATATAAGGAAATGCGTAAAAGTTCATAGTAACATCTACATAAAAATATGCCATACCGAGAAAAACCTTTTTCCCGTTTACGAGTTCTTCTCTTTCAGAAATTTTTTCATTTTGATCAGAACTCACTGCAGTTAATCCATTTTCGTGATTAGTTTCAGATTGTTCCAATTTTTGTTGGTACGATGCATCTGAATGAAGGGTTCCTGATATTGATGGAGGATACAAAGCAATGACTTCAGCAGGATCGGTTTCAAGTTCTTGAAACATGGTAATGGCTTCGTCGAATTTTTGTTGTTGAAAAAGGTTGTGTGCAAGAAGGTTTCGTATTTGTCGAAGTTTTGCTTTCTGACATAATAATAGATTAGTTATGATTAATGAATTAGTTAATATATAATTCACAGAAAATACCGCTTTACCTTGTCATGAAGCAGAATCGGCTCAATTTGTTCAGTTAAACTTATAGCCTCTATATATTGATGTTGATCAATTAATTGATCTATCTAATGAAAGAACCCAATAAATCAAATTTTAATTATTGTAGATGTCATGACTGAAAGACATATTTAAAGTAATAATATACTTGTTTTTCAAAATTCAAAGGAGTGAATCTCCAAGCACTCGTATAATTGGCAATGTACAAGTATTTCCCTTGATTAATAAATTTTGGATGTGGAAGTTCGACTGTTTGAACCAAAGCCAGAGTCTCAACATTTCTAACCTCTACGTGCTTCGGAAATGTCGCAATAAGATAAGGATAAGAGTACCCTTTAATCATGAGAAAATGAGTACATGCAGTAGATAATCTTAAATAATTAATTGCCATTATTCTTAGAGCCAATCCAAACCTATTTCTTCGGGCACTCCAGACCAATCTATTCCAGCATTTCGTGTAGTATTACTATCGAGGTCCACAAAAACACTTATATCTAGATAATAACAATTTTTTAAATTAAATTTTCAAAAGTGGAATCATCTGTTTGTATTTGATCTTTCATGAAGTAATAGTGATAATGATTCTTTAAATTTTCATTATATACAATTTTGTCTCTAATATCTTCAAAATTACGTCAATATAGGTATATTGGTTTTTAAAGACACTCCGATAGAAATTACAAATAATGATGCATCACTTTACAATGTTTACGAATAAGAAAATGATCAATTATCAAATTCAAATAACCTGAAATACCCACTATCTTTAGCCAAAAGGACTCCACGGTTTGGCAATTTTATAATCAGAGGCTTGCTGACTTTTGCTCCAATTGCTCCAATTGCTCCAATTGCCCCGATTCCTAACATATTGGAAAAGGGGACAGCGCCAGCGTTTCCAGATGGCATCAAAAGACCAGTTATTGCACCAGTGTTAATGTTCATCAGCGAATATTCGTTAGCCAATCCCAAGCAAATTTGGTTGTGACTAACCCATGCCATTGTTTTGATCTTTTCTGGGACTGAAAGATCCTGAAAATGAATTTTTTTTTTTCATAAAAACGAAAGTTTTATGAACCAAAAGTGATGCAATGAAATAATTTATCATTTTCCACCTTCGTATCTGTGAATTCTGTATCTTTCCATGTGAAAACAAGTATTCTTTTCTTCACAGCTACTGCTAAACGTGTTACTATCGTAGGAATTCCACCATTGCCTCCTTCTTCATTGATATCAATGTGTGTATCGATAGCAAATAAATTTGCTCCTCGCGTCTTAACCAACGAACGTTGCAATTCAAAAGTGTTCAAATCAAAAATATTGACACAGCCATCTTATAAAATAATAATAGAGATGTTCACTTTAATAAATGGTCTGACATAAAATGATTACTTGATATATATATTTAAATACCTGAAAGTGAAATCAGGACACCAATTTCTTTTATAATATCTAGCTGATCAATTTTAGTTTTTGAAAAATTCTTCACAGTCTCTTTCAAAGTGACCGTTAAAGGCTCATCTTCTAGATTCACCAAGGTAAAGAACATACAATTAAATTTCTGAACGACAGAATATAAATATAGAATCGTTTTCCTGATCTATATATATGCGCATAACATCTGAAAGACGTACCCAAACCTTCTTTGACCTCATATACAAGTAAGGCACCTGTATTAGTGCCTATTAACAGCTTTTGACCTGTTTTTTTTTAATGAATGCAAAAGTTTATTTGACGCCGATTAGAAAGTATTTGACTTGTTTTAATACAAACCATGTGCAAAAATAGATTCTATTCTATGCGGTAATTTGTCTAATGCAAGAGAAACTTTGAATGCATCGTGCATTTTTTTTTTTTTGTTAACACTTTGGCAACCTTGCCGTAAACCTTTATTAAGATTCTTGTACACGAATTATATACGAAAAGAATGTCTGAACCCGAGGCTTTTGAACGGGTAAAAAACCAGGATGATTCTTAGGGAGCACAAGTTGTTACAATTCTATAAAGCAGATCTATATTTATTTTAAGATATCTAAAACCTACATATCTAATCAGTGTCATACATATCGTTATGGTAGTGTACAAATATGATAGTTCGGCAGATTCAGCAGATCGACCAACCAACTTCACCACGGTAAAATTAAAACTAAGAAAAAAATTTCGCTAAGAAAAAACATTCCTCTGTTATGTTAGGGTTAGTGTATTGCAAGTAGGTTAGGTTTAGAGGATCACATTTATACCAAAATTTTGCAAGGAAACCTTTTTGTTAATACGCAGAAGGCAGTTTTATAGACAAAATTTAGAGCTACGGACGATTTTGGGTTTTTTGAACTTTTTCACGTTACTCCTGATCTCGAATTTGATTGGCCAGCGAAATGTTTTAAAAATTATCATCCGGCCTATTCTGACCCCGGATTTTGGTCGATCTGCTGAATTTTTAAATCTATTCCCTTTCGTTACATGCGTATGTAAGCAATGGCAGAAACTAAAAAAAAGTTGAAGTGGATTCCTTTAGAATCTAATCCAGAGGTACGTCTTTATTCCCTTTTATTTGTTTTTGCTGACAAGATTTTCAAGAAGCTCTAATATTTTGTTATTAGGTTATGAACAACGTAAGTAATAAAAAGGAGACGCCTCAAATTTGTTCGAATACGCATTGCTTAAGTTTGATGATTTTCGTTATTTAGTATGTTCATAAGCTTGGTTTATCTCCATTATGGGCTTATACCGATGTTTTTGGTAGGTCCTCAGGGCTTATCCGTTGGTTTTAATGACTATACGTATTATTAACAAAGCTTGTATACGAAACTTAGGCCTTGAAGAAGAGCTCCTACTAATGATTCCTCAACCAATTAAAGCTTTTCTTCTTCTTTTTCCTATTTCAGAAGCTCATGAGAACTACTGCAAAGCTGAAGTGGAAAGTATTAAAGATAATGGACAGGATACATCATCTAATGTCGTGTTTTATAAACAAACCATTGGTAACGCGTGTGGAACAATTGCCTTAGTACATTCTTTGGCTAATAATAGAGATTCCATTCCTATCGGTATGAACCCATCTTTTTGTATTTTACTATTCATATTCACATGTATTGTCGTGAAATTCATCACATCATTTTTCTAGAGGATGGTCCACTTAAACGCCTACTGGATAAAACCAAAGATTTGACACCCGAAGAGCGGGCAAAATGTCTTGAGGAAGATGACGAATTGACAGATGCTCATCAATCCTCTGCGAGATTGGGCCAGACTAGGGTATATATATTACATATCTTTATAAATTATCTTCATGTGTGAATTTATATTTTGTTACGTATAGGCTCCTGGGGAGGACGAAAGAGTAGATTTACACTTTATATGTCTTGTCGAAAAAGATGGCTCGATCTATGAGTTGGATGGAAGGAAGCCTTTTCCTATAAATCATGGTTCATGCAGCAATTTTGTTAAGGTATGTTCTGGCGATTCGTTCTAAAGTTTGATTGCAAATTTATAATCGTTAGCATTTAATTGTTATTCAATAATAGGACTCTGTTAAAGTAATTAAAAAGTTCATAGAAAGAGATAACAATAATCTTCAGTTTACTGTAGTTGCTCTTGCACCAAAGGCTGATTAATATGATAACTGTTTATCAATATAACAATTATAATATGAACAAAATTTAGTATCAAGTTTTTTGCTAAACTAAATGGTTATTTATTCATATTTTCAAATTGCTTATTATATTTTTATATAATTAGAGTGCTAGTTAATAGGTTTATTATTGAACTTATTATCTAGTTTATTAAGTGTTTCAAATGCTTATTTTTTGTATTTTATACTGTATATTATTGCATTTTTTTTTTTTTTTTTTTTGCAATTTTAATGGTTATTAGTTTTTTTTAATATTAAGATAACTTTTTGGTTATTGGTTTTTATTTAGTTTAATGTGCTGTTTATATAATAATTTTGGTTACAAAATTGGTACATATTTGAAAAGTACAACTAGTTATATTTGCAATTTTTAATGTTTATTTATAGTAAGTAATTTATTTGTAAGTTTTATATTAGTTATAATTTATTTAAAAAATTGGTTATTTGGATTTTTTGTTTATATTTTATTTATATATTTTTTTTTAATGTTTAAAATAAGATTTATTTTTAAGTTTTATTAATATAATTATTAATACAATTTTGTTATATATAGTACATATTATATATATTAAAAAACTATTTTTAATAATTTTTTAACCAACAAATTGAATTATAAAAAAAATATTTTAATAACAAAAAAACAATACTTTTGGTTTTATGTGAAGTAGGTTGTTGTTAATAAAACTAAAATAAATAAAACACTAAAAAGCAGATGTATTTGTAATTGTTTAAAGAGAAATTAAGGTTTTCTTCTTAGTAAGTTATATAGAATTATTAAAAACTTAAAGCAATTATTATATAATTATAAAATTTACAAAAAGAAATATATATAAAATTTTGTTATTTCTTGTTTTTTTTCAAAAAAATTTTTATAAAAATGTCAATTTAGTTTATTTATTTCAAAAGACTAATATATAAAATCAACAAAATAGTTAGTAGTATTTATTTTCTTAAATAAAATTGTTGATAATATAGATTAAAAACAATATTATTAGGGTGTAGTGATCAAGTAAAGTGGTCAGGTTGTCAATCCTCCAAGTGGTAGGTTGGGTGTTTAAATCCCATCGATAGCAAAAATTTGAATAATTACCTATATAATATTCATATTATAACAACTGTTACTAATGATTGAGTTAAGATATCTGTAACAGTAGTTACACTAGTATAACTGGCATGTCATGAGACATTTATGTAAATCACATGGCATTGTCTTTTGGGACAAGATTTGTGGTTACATAAAGGAATGTAAACTGGCAATTGGGTGATGCAAACACTAGATAAGTTTTTGTGATTGTATAAATTTATTAAAATTATGTAATAAAAAGTTCATTTAAAAAGATCTAAATAGAGAGATAGCTGGACCTTTGATGATACTACTGTAAAGGCTAGCCTGAAAAAATAGATACTCAGGTCTTAGTAACTAGATAGACAAAAACCTTTAGATTGGAAGTATCAGAGATATTATCAATTAGGCCATCAGAATAAACTAAAAAAAAAAAATATTAGATCAATCTAATATACTGATGGACTGGTTATAGTCCTATATAAATCATCTGAATTAGGAGTCTGATGAAATTCAGGAGTATACTAAAGTACTAGAGTTATGCTATGAAGTAGATGCTAGGATCTAAGTGAACTCTACAAAGGCATAGTAGTTTAATAATTAAGCCTTAATTACAAGTATTAGTTCTGCTATAATGATATCTAGATTAGTTATAAAAATAATTACAGAAGGTTTTGGGGTTTACCTTAAGGATAAATTAGTCCTAAAGTTAAGATGATAATCTGGGTATCTGAATATAACCTAGTAAGTTAATACAGGTTACAAGTTCAGAGGGTTTAAAGTAAAACACCTAAGTAGGAATATTAAATATTATAATAGAATTTACTTTTTTTTTATATTAAGTATATATTTATTTTTAGTTCTATATTATATTTTATATTTTTCTTAATATTTTTACATAGTTTATAGATTATTTTATT